CCCCGCGCTGTGCCCCCCCGGGTTGCCCTCCCAGGCCGCTCCGCTGTGCTCCAGCCTCAGTCAGGGCACAGCCACGCTGCAGAACCAGTTGGTTTGGGCCACCTCAACAGGCACTTGGCCATGAGCTCCCAGGGTTGAGTAAGGGTTGCTCCCCGGCCTTGGCTCTCCCTGCGTGGCTGTTGGAGGTGGGTGGTCACTCTGTTGCGCGAAGGGGCGGGCAGGGGATGCCTGACCACATCCGACCAAGGCCTGGGAGGCTTCCCCACGGCCCCTTCGGCTTTGTGGCATTGCCTGGCGGGGAGCTGGCACAGCTCGGCGAGGGACCCGCCTGCACAGCTACCCGCACCACAGCCCTCTCCACGCTCCGCCGGCACAAGGGGCCAGTGAGCGACACTGAACAGCAGCTCTGCACCCCATTAGTCTCAGTTTCTTTATTCTGTGAGGCCGTCTCAAAACTTCATGCCACCAACATTCTGCTCGAGGGACGCGTGCTCCCTGCAGCACATCTTCCTGAAGCAAATGGCTGCAATCCCCTCGTCTCCCCTTGGCTTCGGATTGTGCGTTGCAGAGCCGAGGGCTGCGTGCCTGTGTGCAGCGCCTCGGCACACAACCCTCAGAAAGGATCGGGGCAGCTCTCAGAAACTCACTGTCCCCAGCCGGGGCCTGGAGGCCCCGTTGTCATGCTTTGGTGCCCAGGGAGGTTCAGTCCATGCCTGCAAAGGAAGATGACAGCCCGCTCCCAGGGGGGCCCTGGGAGCCCTGTACTCGGCACTGGTGAGGCCGCACCTCGAGTACTATATTCAGTTTTGGGCCCCTCACTACAAGAAAGACATTGAGGTCCTGGAGAGTGTCCAGAGAAGGGCCACAAAACTGGTGAGGGGTCTGGAGAATATGTCTGATGAGGAGCGACTGAGGGAACTGGGCTTGTTTAGCCTTGAGAAGAGGAGGCTGAGAGGAGACCTGATCACTGCCTACAACTACCTGAAAGGAGGTTGTGGAGAAGTGGGTGTTAGTCTCTTCTCCCTAATGACAGATGATCAGACGAGGGGGAATGGACTCAAGCTGCGCCAGGGGAGGTTTAGATTGGATGTAAGGAAGAAGTTCTTCACCGAGAGGGTTATCACACACTGGAACAGGCTGCCCAGGGAGGTGGTGGAGTCCCCATCCCTGGATGTGTTTAAGAGACGGGTGGATGAGGTGCTGAGAGATATGGTTTAG